GACCACAAGATAGAGTGGTGGACATGGCGGTTGAGGAATCGGTGCTGGTAAGGTTCTCGTCGAGCAGAGCGGTGGTTAAGTTGGGGCAATCCGCCGTCGACTGGGTGATGGTAAGTGACACCGGCAGTCGAGAGAGAGCTGCGTTGAAGTGTAAGTCATCAGAGCTTGTGATGGGCGGGGCTGAAGGAGAAGGGCTACGACGGCGAGGTTGGGTAAAATCGACAATGAGGATATTGAGAGATGATAGAGGATGAAGGAGATAGGGAACAAGCTGAAGGCCACTGTGTACCACTCTTTTTCAATGGCTTTAAGTTGGTTTTCATTGCCTTTACATGTCGTATTTGAAGAGCTTTTTACACTTGGTCCGCCGTGTGTGCTCTTAGACTGGACCTAGGATTTGAAGAATCCCTTCATGTTGAATAGATGAAATTAGCATGGGTGAGAGGAGATATGATGCTTACACGGAAAATCTGGATTTCATCGCCAATATCGCCTCAAAATTAATCACCTCGCATCTTTGAATTTTATTGCTCCAAATAGGAAGACATGACGGACACGATGATGGACGCTAATGGAAAGAAAGGCGAGGTGATGTCACGGCTCGAGATGGATGGAGAGAAAATAATGAAGAGATTAAAAAAAAAAAAACTAAACAAAAATAAAAGACAAAAAAACTCAACACACGCACACATGAAAATAAAACCCAAACAAATAGCCATTGCAACATAAAATAGAAAAATTCAACCAAGGTGATCGAATTTCAAACGGCGACATGCAGGACCCAAATCTCAACATAACATACAAAGAAAGCTCAAACAGAAAAACATCAAACACTCACGCTAATACACAACACAGATTGAAGACGTCAAACGATCGGAAAAAAGAACAAAACATAACAAGAAAAGAAATGCATATAACGCAACCACATGAAATTTTATGAAAATAGAATGCGATGCAAAAGAGACTGGTAGATATAATTGACATATTTACACTCTTAATGCCAAAAAATATTCCCACAGCAAAAACTCGAGAAAAAATCGGGAGATTGAATTCCCTATGATCCCTGGAAAGTGAGGCGGCCAAGAAGATGTAACCTGAGAAATTTCAAATTGATGGAAAACGATGATTTCAGAGGATGACACAAAACACAATAAAAAAAATTTGGAAATCGAACAAAGGCACTGAGGAATACAAACACAAATATTTTCCAAAATTGTGTTCGCGATATGACAACTGGCAAGAATGATATTATTTAATATTATTTTTTTATCAAAATATAATATTTTCAATTATAACAAATTTATTATTAGTATTAAAATATTCGCTTTAAATATTTATCCTAATAAACATCTCATAATTCACACATCCACTATCCACACTCAATAGCCGTTGCCTACACCAGGTTTTTCCTCGCCTCATCTTCTTTCGCAATTCTTTATTTTCTTCCTTTTTCTTTTCTTATTTATATCTCATTCTTCTTATTATTGACTCACCATATTGGTAATGATTCTATTTTATCTATTTAAAAAAAAAAAACTTGAAGCGTAAATTTGAATTGAAAATCAATTTTTTGAACTGACAATTAACAATTTGGGAAAATGATGGACCCAAAACAAACCATGTAAAAACCATTTGGTGTTTTCCTTCCATGATAGACAAGTGCATAATAATTTCAAAATTGGGTTAATCATCACAACCACTCTCTTAATTTTTACTTAATCTCTTATCTTTTTATATTTTTTCATTTCTGTAGGGAGTCTTCCTTTTGCTCTGCTACTAGTGTTGTATCCTTATGCAATCTTTTTGATTTGATGATTGTCTCTTATCTTTTTATATTTTTTCATTTCTGTAGGGAGTCTTCCTTTTGCTCTGCTACTAGTGTTGTATCCTTATGCAATCTTTTTGATTTGATGATTGTAGATAAAATATTTCTAAAGGGTTTTAACATTTTTTATGAGAAAGCTCTAGTAAACACTTTTTTTTATAAACACTCTCCTTTACTTGATTGTTATTGGCCTTTGCCATATTCTTGACCCATTTATCCATTGTAGAGCCAAGGGGGTTTTGAAACCTTGTCTTCCATCAACCTACTCGAATATACTTAAAGGGTTTTATCCACTTTTAACGGAAAAAATCTGGCTGACATGTTTGAGCCTGAGCTCAAGGCTCTAGCCGACGCTCTCGATGAGTTGTCCGGGGCCTTTGAAGCTAATCCTAACGTCAGTCAAATACTAGATTGGGATTACGAGAGAGTAGTGGAGCTCAGCCTTGACATTGTCTGGTTCTGAACTTTTTTTGCCTCAAGACCTTCTGAACCCTTTTATTTCTAGCAAGAAATTGTAAATGTCAATTAAACCATTGCCCAGTTCCAATTGTGACCTTCTCCTCTCCTCCAAGGACGGCCTCATTGAAGATATCACAATCGGAGAGAGGGAACTCGAGAAAATCAAATAGTGACTGGAGGGTTAATACAAGGAGCTAGCAGAAATCAATCATTGTCTAGTGGAAAAAAAAACATCTAAACTCAATAGGGTCACCTAGCCGAGCTCAAGCGGGATTTAAGGGCTTCCCTCCGAGCACGGCGGAGGGTTGAGAGAGACGCGACCACCTTCCTTGTTCAAATTTCATCCTCCCAATTCAACTTCTTATTTGGATCTCTCTTCTGCCTTTCAAAACTTATGACTGGCATAATAATTCGATCCTTCATCATAGACAACTTTTAATTTTGACCATCTTGCCCTAACTACTAGAAAGGACCCACTCTAATGCCGAACATAATATTTGGATTCATTATTACCAAAACACCTCCCAACATATCTTCCTTACTCATCCGAGTTCTTAGCAGGAATTGGGAAAACTCCTTACAATATTTTCTGGTTGGCCAGCATCCAATCAGCGATCATGCCGAGGACCTAGTTCAAATGTTAAAACAACTTTATTTTATGTTCAAACTCTCTTAGAGGGGCCGAAAAACCTTGCACTGGGTTACCCGTCTGATGGACACATGTTGTGGAGATTTGTAAGATCCTCAAAGACATCCTCAGCCAAATTGCAAATTTAGACCATCACACGGACCTGATAGAACACCACATGATGATTTTTCTGCCCCATCTTTGCTGAAATAGTTGTCTGCTCACAACAAAGAGCTTCATTTTATCTATTCGAACTCTCTTCAATTATAACTAATATACAAAATAGAAATATAATTTATTTCATAATCTTAATTTGTTGCTCCCATTAAAATTTTCAAAATATTTATTTGATATAATATTATTATTTTATACACTCCGTAATTGAGGCATTACAGATCCCATTGATATAAATACTTTCCTGGAACTGCCTTGCAACTCCCGTGTTTCGGTTGGGCTGATCGTGTAACAACTGTTGGCAATTTTTTTGTTTCTGACCTACATATTTGATTAGATAGTTGTAACGGGCGTCATGAATCAAAACTGCTCGTGATCAGACACTTTTGAGATCAACTGTCAAAATGGACCAAATTTACTTAGATTCAGTCACTATGAATAAAAAACATTCGGCCTTAATTATTGCAGTTTGACCCGTTCATAGTTTGGTCGTTCAAATTACCTTTTCGTGACCGAAACGATGGGTTCTAAAACCATAAACTGCTCTTATATTAAGTTTGGTCCTCAATAGGCCTCTTTTGAACATTTCAAATCTTGAGTTGAACTTTAAATCCTTGAATTAGGGCTCAACAATAAGCATTATACAATATGATTAGTCACAAAACATTGGCCACTTGGCATTATAGAATAACAATACACACAATACATATGTGACACCTATTATTTTGTTAGGAGAGATAAAAAATAGACCAATTTTGAATAAGTACTATATAATTATATGTTATATTATCGAATTAATTAAATTTATTTATATTGTATTAAATATTTTAAATGAATATAATTTATGAAAATAGAAAAAATATCAAAATAAGACGAAAGGAAAACATGTTGATTGATTTGAGACACAAATATAATTTTTTTATCTTTTGAATAATTTATTAGTTCCAAATAATTTGTTCACTATTTCTATTTCCGTTCGTCCTACATAATTTGTCTTTTTTTTTCGAAAATATAATTATACATTTTAATCACATTTTAAAATTCATAATTCATCTTTTTTATTTTAATTAAATTATTTAGTCATTCTAATATTAATTTATAATTAATTTTTATTAAATTATAATAATTATTACTAATATATTTTTTAGTTATTTATTAATTACACAATATTTAAAATTTCATGCCCTTAATCGGATAAATTAGTTTAGACGAAAAAGGTATTATCTTTTCTATTTAAAATATTTCTATAAAAATAATAAATAAAAAAACTATAAAATATTAGAAATTATAAACAATAATGCAAATTTAAATATAGGTAAAATAGTTATAAAAAGACAAAAAATAAAAAAAAAAGGAAAAAAAAAGACATTAATAACGAATTTCGTAGAGGCCCAATTCGCAGAGGGCCCAAGAAGGGTTATTTATTTATTTGTTATAAAGGTCAATAACCAGCAGTAGTGCAGTGGAAGAGCAGTGGACAGTGGCGGTGTGTTCTGTTCAAATTAGGGTTTCCTCACTGCCCCTCCAATTCAAATTTCAAATTCGAATTCAATTTCAAATTCGAATTTAAACTTAAACCACCAGAAAGGAAAGGATACTGCAGCAACTAGTAAGTCCCATCTCGTTCCATGTTGGTAAGCTTTTTGTCGAAAATAAAAAATATATTTTTATAAAATATTTAATTATATATTATTCTATCATCTTCAAATCAAAAAATTTCAAATTAAATCAAAAATTTCAAAGTAAATCAAACCAACCATTAGTTGATAAAACATACTCCTTTCTTCTTTTCTCACATAATATTCACCACTTTTTAAACCGATTAAAAAGACACATTTAATAACAATTCTAATCTAAAATATTGCTCCATTGTTTTATAAATAAAAATAAAAATAAAAAACTTCTCTTCCACCTTCCTCCTTTGCCTTGCCTTTGGGCTTTGACTGTCTGTATAAATCCCCACTCACTCCCTTGCGTTCGGCGCTCCGCCCCCACCCCTCCCTCGAAGTTCTCTTCACTTGTTTCTATCAGAGATCGAGTTCGGCTAGTAATTCTCCGCAAGCCAGCCATGTCACTCAGGCCTAATGCTCGCGTTGAGGTCCGTCGCAACAGGTACAAAGTGGCCGTCGACGCCGAAGAGGGCCGCCGTCGGAGGGAGGATAACATGGTCGAGATTCGTAAGAATCGCCGGGAGGAGAACCTCCAGAAGAAGCGCCGCGAGGGAAGCCAGCAGTTCCCTGTCTCCGTCGAAGCCGCCACAGGCCTTGAGAAGAAGGTAGTTGGTTACGTGGTTTTTTATTTCTTTTGGTGGAGTTTTTTGCTTTTGTTAATCTGATTTCTTCTTCTTATTCTTTTGCTAAGGTGCTTTTTTAGGCTATGCGATTCGAAATGATTAATTGTCTTGGTTGTTTGTTAGGGTTTGTGCCCTTTGTTTGATTGCCAATGACTTTGCATTCATTCTCTATTCCCTTTAACCCTCAGTCTAATCTGGATGGGATGGGATGGGATAGGATGGTTTGGTATGATCCTCATAAGGAACTGAAATGGTTATGGTATTTCTGAGGAAAATAATGGGATCGTTGTTTGTTGGGTCATACCTGGTTATTATCTATTATGCTATGTGTGGTGTTGAAGGGTTAACTTGTTGGATTTTACCCTTGTTTAGGTCCAGTTGGAGAATCTGCCATCAATGGTCTCAAATATTTGGACTGATGATCGTAGTAGACAACATGAGGCAACCACCCAATTTCGTAAACTACTTTCTATAGGTCGGTACTATATGGACTCTGAAGTTTGCAATGCAAAATAAAAACTAAGTAACTAAATCATTTGTTGGTCCGTTGTTGTTGAACACAGTTTCTTTTTATTGAATTCTGCAGAACGAAGTCCACCAATTCAGGAGGTAATTCAATCCGGTGTTGTTCCTCGCATTGTAGAATTTCTGATTAGGGAGGACTTCCCCCAACTGCAGGTTGGATAATAGTTTCATCTAATGTTCTTTGCAATGTCTTTTTAATTATATTGGATCTCTTAATTGGTTTAAATCCTATTTCTTTTGTAGTTTGAGGCAGCCTGGGCTCTCACTAATATTGCATCTGGGACATCTGAGCACACTAAGGTTGTAATTGATTATGGAGCTGTCCCGATTTTTGTTAGGCTTCTCTCTTCTACGAGTGATGATGTTCGAGAGCAGGTAAGTTTGGAAAAAGATTCGAATTACCATGTGTGTATTGTATACAATTTTCATTTTAGGTGAAATCCTTTTGCTACAAATATGTATGGTATTTCCACAACTACATTATTAGTGTCGTAATTGGACTGGTTGTATGTCATGCTGTAGGCAGTGTGGGCCTTGGGAAATGTGGCGGGTGATTCCCCCAAATGCAGAGACCTTGTACTCAGTCATGGTGCTCTGGCTCCTTTGCTAGCTCAGTTGAATGAACATGCCAAGCTGTCCATGCTCCGAAATGCTACCTGGACTTTGTCAAACTTTTGCAGAGGGAAGCCACAGCCTGCCTTTGAACAGGTTCTCACCCTTTAGTTATATAGTTCCTATTTCTGTGATGTGTGTGTAAGTTCATTAACTCTTCCATACTAGCAATTTGATGCTCCTTATACGATCATATAGCTCTCCGGCCTTAACTGACCGATATCTGTGTCAATGTGTGTTGTCATACTTTTAGCTTTTGCCTGTGAGGAGGGCACAATTGTAATTTTCTACAATTTGAGAACATGCTGTAGCTTTATTTGTATTACATACAGGTAAGTCCTGCACTTCCAGTTCTTGGACAACTGCTTAATTCAACTGATGAAGAAGTGTTAACCGATGCATGTTGGGCACTCTCTTATCTCTCTGATGGCACTAATGATAAAATTCAAGCTGTGATTGACTCGGGAGTATGCCCTCGCTTAGTGGAGCTGTTGCTGTGAGTATTTGTATTCTACTTTCTATCCATACATTGCTATAGTGTAAATACTGGATTTATATATTGTGCACCTGTTGAATTAAACATTATCTACCATTTCAGCTATCCATCACCCTCAGTTCTTATTCCCGCCCTTCGAACTGTTGGAAATATTGTCACTGGAGATGATATGCAAACACAGGTTTCATCCAGTGCATTGTCATTCATTTATGATGATGTTATGTGATACAGTTCTGTTGGTAGTATATTTAAACATTGCAACATATAAAGAGCAAAAGAAAAGTGGAATTAATAGAAAAGCATAAAATTCTAGGCCCGCTTTTGTTTTTTATCCAGCATAAAGGGAAGCATTTTGGGCAAGCATTGGTTTGGTGCATGAGGATAACTCCCACTCCCAATTTATGATTGCCGCACATTCTACTGTCCTCATCCTCCTTCCTGTTTTCCTTTTGAGGGATTGAGATTGATCGGTAGAATGGTCTATAAACGCTTACTCGAGGCTATGATTTCTATCCGCGAACCTTACTATTAAATGCAATTGATATTGTTCTATTATCTAGAACTATATAATAACGATGATGGTGGAGATTGTGTTTGGAGGAAAGTAAGAATGGCAGTGAATCAATCACTCGGTAGATATTGATAAACAAAGCTAACGTAGTTAACTGCGAGTTCATGACAAAAGATCTCAGAGAGGAGAAAACAAATTAATAATATTAGGTCATTGTTAGAACTTTTATAAGCATTCTGCGTGACCACCCAATCCATGTAGGTCGTCATATCTGATGTATGCATATATATTTATGCGACAAATGTTAGGTTATGAACATAGATGATCTGGATTTTTAAATATATATCTCATTATTATTTATTGATGGACCCCGATCCCCCAAAATATTAATCTAACATGGTTTTCTAATTGATTTAGTGTTTCTTTGCAGAATTCCTATTCTCTCCGTGGTTTGTGATCCTTTGTAACAGTTTTCTGTTTTATTAGTAGTTTTTAAACTGAAGTATAGTGGTGATGTATTGGAAGTTGTGGATTATGCTCTACTCAAATTTAGCTCTTCAATGCTTGCATATTAGCTCTTGTTTTAGATCTTATAGAATTGAATTGGGTGCATGAAGAACTTGTTTTTCACTAATTTCACATTGCTGAAAGATGAAATTTGATTATTTATTTATTTATTTATCTTTTTGTCCCCAGTATATCATCAACTACAGGGCACTACACTGTCTTCTGAACCTCCTAAGTGGAAACTATAAGAAGAGCATTAAGAAGGAAGCTTGCTGGACTATTTCTAACATAACAGCTGGAAACCGAGACCAAATACAGTCTGTTATTGATGCTGGTGTTATTGGCCCCCTCGTCCTGCTGCTTCAGAATGCTGAATTTGAGGTGAAGAAGGAGGCTGCATGGGCTATATCAAATGCAACCTCTGGCGGCACTCATGAACAAATCAAGTTAGTAATTAATAATGCAGTCTCATTGCTGCTTTTCATTTTTCCAGTTCTCTCTCTCTTTCTCTTTCTCAAATAAACATTCCCTTAATTTCTTGTCATGACGATGACTACTACTACTACTACAGGTACCTTGTGAGTCAACACTGTATCAAGCCTCTATGTGACCTGCTTGTGTGCCCTGACCCAAGAATTGTGACAGTGTGCCTGGAAGGGCTTGAAAACATTTTGAAGGTTGGAGAATCCGAGAAGAATCTGGGTCGGACTGGGGACGTCAACCTCTATGCTCAAATGATAGATGATGCTGAAGGGCTTGAGAAAATTGAGAACCTGCAGAGTCATGACAACAATGACATCTACGAAAAGGCAGTGAAGATTCTGGAGACGTACTGGTTGGAGGAAGAAGATGAGACTGCACCTCCGGGTGGAGGAGGAGAGCAACAGGGGGGATTCCAATTCGGAGGGGGGGAGGTGAACGTGCCATCAGGTGGATTCAACTTCTGATCCGGAAGGGGGTGGGAGAGGCAAGGTTAGTTGCTTGCTCACATAACCATTTTCCATGTCCATTTCCTTTCAGGGATAGATGATATAATATGATATGATATGAATCTTTAGAGGGGTGGGGGTTTTGAATTGTGTCTCCCCATAGATATCCTGCCTTTTTTTTTTTTTTTTTTTTTTTTTTTTTTTCTTATATAAATTATACTATTATAATATTGTTAGTAGGAAGAAAATGGTTGTGGGACATGAATTGATACTTGAGACTGATTCTTGATGTTTGTTCGTCTGTTATGAGAGTTTTAAGGAGATTTTGATGATTTATTATGCAACAGCAGGATGTTCATCCTTTTTAAGTTGCTCGTATACGTAGAGGGGTGGGCATTAGGTTGGGTATTTGTACTTAGGGTAGTTTGGGTTAAATATTCATTAATTTTGGGTAGCATAAAATATATTTCCCAATCTCACCCGAATTTTTTGGGTACTTTGGAATATCAGGTACTTCAAATTTTTCAGACATCAGATTTTGAAATTTGGATACTCCAATTTATTATTTTTATTTATTTATTTTGCTTTTAGCATGCATAATATTTTTTATGGATGTAAATTATTTTTTTCTTCGTATAACAAATAACAACATTTTTGTATTTTGTAAAATTTTACTTATTTAAAGTATATTTAGTAAATATATATTATTTTAATTAATTCTATTATATACGATTTTTTTTGTTCTGTGAAGATGATTTCTACATGAGATTGGCTTTCTTTTTTGGTAAATTTAATAAATATTAAATATATTTAATAAATATAAATTAATTTATTTAAATTTTAAATTTATATATGGATCTATTCAAAAAAAAAATTATTTTTATTTTTTTAATAAATAAATATTTTTATTTATATTTAAAATTTTTTATTTTTTATTTTTATAAAATTACATGTTAATTATGGATAAATAAATATAAATTTTTTTATTTATATTATATAGAATTTTCTATGATATTAATATTACTGTTGCCGATTTTCAACAAATAAAAAGTAAAATTCGAAAATAGAAATTATCTTCGAATTTGATAAAATAAATGTTTGAGATTAAGAATCTCTAGACACCGTACGATACATAAGTAAAATAGGAAAATAAATATTACAGACTGAAAGAGTAATGCTACTTATAGTATGACCTTCCCTTTATTTCCTCATTTGTTGCTAACCGTTGAACACACATAAGGCTTGTCGTTTACAATTTCAGTTGTCATTTCTTCAACGCTACTTCCCTGCTCATCATTTGGCACATACATTTCTGTATCAACACTGGCCATCTGTTGGACCTTATTCCGCCGAAAGTTGTGATTTTTTTCTTTAAAAAGAGATTCTAACCTTCCCGCCTTGGATGCTAAACTGGCCAGATCTTGAACATCGTGGGCTGTCAAAGCCTCCCGTAGTCTGGTATGCATATTCCCTTCATTAGTCGTATTCACTCTATAAATTGGTAGGCGGTCTCCTCCGGCATCTGCCGGATCTTCAAGAGATCTGTGAGTGAGACCGTCGGGAGAGATTAAAGAACCTTGCATGAAAAGTTGCTTCCAAACCTTCCCAAGTTTGCACCTGTCCTGGCGGAAGATTGGCAAGCCAGGAGAAAGCTGTTCTTGTGAGAGATAATCCAAACAACTGTAATTTGTGAAACGGATTATTGTCCACTTCCTCCAATTGAGCCGTGAAGCGCCCCACGTGCTCAATGGTTGAAGCTCCATCTTCTCCCGAGAAAGAGTGAAAATCTGGTGGCCTATAATTTCTCGGGAGAGGATGCTCATTGATGATTCTCTCTGGAAATGACCTTTGATATGCCGGCCTATTCACCGTTTGAGGATTCATTCCGAAATGCACCCTCAAGACTTGAGCAATGTCTTCCGAATCCACTCTTAGTGGAATAGGTCGAACACAGGAATAAGATTATGAGCCTGACCTTCCAATCTTTCTTCTCTGGGGACGGTTGGCTCGGCTCTGATACCAGTGGAACATTATTTTGGTATTTCAAAGGAGTCTTTCCCCTGTCAACCCTATTAGTGGCACTTGGAAGAGTGCTATCTACATATGAAGGCCCCACAAAATTTGCTTGTAATCTGGATTGTGACATCCCTGGTGGTGACTGAGTGGGTTAAAGAGTAACCCTTGATAAAGCTTGATCTAACATACTTTGCATGAGGTTTTGTTGCTCACGCAACATGTTTTACATAGCCAGAGTTTGCTGATTGTTCTAGTGTTGAACATAAGACATCCAATCGACGGGTGCTTGGGGAACTACCCCTGCATTTGGCATGGCATGTGGTGAAATGGTTTCTCCCACCGGTGTTGACGATGCTTGAGGTTGTGAGCCTGCCATATGGATCCTTCCGATGATTCGACCGGATCTCAGTTGTATAAAATTCTCTCTTGACGTAAGATCAGCAATCTTGTCTTTCTCCCAATGTGGTCGCCAATTTGTTGATGCCGATTTTCAACAAATAAAAAGTAAAATTCAAAAATAGAAATTATCTTCGAATTTGATAAAATAAATGCCTGAGATTAAGAATCTCTAGACACCGTACGATACATAAGTAAACTAGGAAAATAAATACTACAGACTGAAAAAGTAAATGGTGATCCCCAAAATCAATTCACTGAATTTGATGTCGATTGAAGATGGTTTCTTTAGGTCATGAAATGACCTATTTAAAAACCTATGTTAACCGCCACAATCAGGTCGTGCCTTCATATCCGCCCGCCGGTTGTAACCTCTCTCAACTATCTTAAAACTGCTTTTCGCCCGACCTGCACACCTGCTGTTCTGTCTCCTCTTGTCCGTCTTCCACTTGTCCGACCTCCATATCAGTCATTTCTTCGCCCGACTTTATCTTACCCGACTTCGTATAGGCCGCCCCATCCTTCTTCGCCTGACTCCATCCTACCCGATTTCGTGTAGATCGTCTCATCCTTCTTTGTCTGACTTCATTTTGCCCGACCTATATGCCGTCCGACCTGGATGCATATCATTTCCTTCGTTCGTTCTCTCATTGCCCGACTTCCTAATTATAGGCTTTTTCCGAGGAAACCCATCTCTTAATTAATACTTGGGCTCATATTCAGACCCATTTTTAAGGTCCCACTGCAATTGATAAGCCCATTAGCATCTACACCGATTCTTAGTCCAATTTTATAGGTCAATTTTTGAAAACCTTACATATTGGTTTTTTCTTACTGTAGACACTAAAAATATGTCTAAAATCAATTAAATATCATGTATTTTGGAAGAAAATAAAATTCCAATAAAATAAATATATGGTATTTAATTATGCACATATGTTAATTTTTGTACAATAAATATAAACCATTAATGCAAAAATCTGCTTAAAATGGAAGATATCGTACAAATATTACGTGCATAAATAGAGTTATAATAAATTTGGCAGCAAAATAAATTAATCTTGTCAATAAAGGAAGTATATAAATTAATATCTTCCAAAAAAGACAATGATATAAAGATTTTGGTGAGAAAGGAAGGTGCACAATCAATTCCGTCAAGAATGGAAAACAACATCTGATGGAAAAGGAAAGATTATAAAATCTTTCCATACACGTGGCACCATCCGAAAAGGAAGCCAAGGCCACCCTCCCCTATAAATAGGAGCCATGGTTAGTTCATTTGAGACACCGAAGTTCATTTGAAGACTCGCGCAAGGGTAAGTCTCTCTAGACTCTCTGCAATGTTCTTCATTATTCTTCGTGTCCTTCGAAGCGTTCTTCGTCGAAAAGTCACTGATTTGAACAAATGATCCAATATTGGTTGACGAATCGATGAAGTTAACGTTCTTCGTCGTATGTCCAAGCCTGAGGAAGGATCAAACCTTTCAAAGTCGTTGAGGAATTCGTCAAAGCCAAGGGAAGGTCTTCAAAGTTTCTCTCAAAGCTTCGAGGTGTTCATCGCGTTCTTCATAAAAGGCGCAAACTCGGCCCTCTTCGATCCAAAAGTCAAAGGGACACGCCGCCAAAAGTGTTACGGAGCACCAAATCCACCTTCTCAAAGATCAAAGCTGCGGATTGTTTAAAGAGGACATCAAATCCAAAGCTTAGGATCAAATCACCCGCACGGAGACCAAAGCCCTCCAAAAGCGGCAAAGACAAATAAAAGATCAAAGCTGCGGATCGTCCAAAGAAGACATCAAATCCAAAGTTGAGGATCAAATCGCCCACACGGAGACCGAAGCTCTCCAAAAGGCGGAAAAGGCAAATTAAAGATCAAAGTTGCGGATCGTCTAAAGAAGAAAAAATCCAAAGACGATGATCAAATCGCCAACGCGGAGACCGAAGTCCTCCAAAAGCGGCAATGCCAAAACAAATGTCAAAGTCGCGAATCGTCCAAAGAAGACAACAAATCCAAAGACGATGATCAAATCGCCAACACGGAGACCAAAGTCCTCCAAAAGCGGCAAAGCCAAAACAAATGTCAAAGTCGCGGATCGTCCAAAGAAGACAACAAATCCAAAGATGATGATCAAATCGCCAACGCGGAGACCAAATCTCCAAAAGGCGGCAAAGCCAAATTAAAGATCAAAGCCTCAGATCGTCTAAAAAAGACATCAAATCCAAAGCCGACGATCAAATCGCCCGCACGGAGACCAAAACCCTCCAAAAGCCGGCAAAGTCAAACTGAAGACCAAACCTCTTCGGATCAAAGAAGCCATCGAAAACCAAGTTGGAAAATAAATCGACCCGGAAGGAGAATCAAAGGACCCATTTAGAGAATAGGACCCGCTTTAAATTCAAATCAAATATAATTTGTACAAATTTTGTGTTTATTAAAAATAACACAATTTTTTGTCTACATATTTTTGGCACGCCCAGTGGGACCTCTCTACCTTTCATCTCTCTTTCCGACGAACTTTCAACAACCAATGGCTTCCTACAAGATCAAGACTTCCAACGTTGCGTCAAAAGTTGCTGCTCAAGCCGCCGTCGCCGCCAAAGAAGTTGGCGCACCCATCGCGTCCAAAACCTCAAGCGCTTCGACAAATACTGGAATGACAACACGTAGCATGACCAAAAGAGCATTGCCGTTATCTGAGGACAATTCTCCAAAAATCACAAAGCAAAGTCCACTCTATGAAGAAGACGACAACTTCAAGAGTATTGCCGCATTGTTCACCCCTTAACAAACTGCAAGTCATTCGACCGTATCAAGCTCTGCTCCGGTGATGACTACCAACGCTTCAAATATTGAGGAACTAAAGATTGTGGATCGAAGTCTTCTCTGCAAAGAAGAACAAAGCTTCAAAGGCACCTTCATGTCACCTACTAATCAGCCAATTTCAAGTCATTCAACTGCATCAAACTCTGCTCTGGTGATGACTATCAATGTTTCAAATATAGAAGAACAACTTGCAGCATTGGCCAAAGTCGTTGAAGGGATGTCTCA